CACTCATACAGTAGTAAGCTCTTCATTGTTAATACATGGCCCACTTGTCTCTCTCATAGAGTTTCTTTGTTCTTGTGCCCAAGCCAGCTGTAAGCTTAGAGCCCGCTTCTCCTCTCTCTCTCCCCATTTCTCTCCTCCACCTCAGCACTTAGCCAGCTTACAGTCTGTTATTATGCTTGCTCTTAGGGTAGATAAAACATTAGGACATGTCATGTTTTACTCTCAAGAAAGAAGGAAAACATTGGAAAACTCCAAGAAAAAATTAAACATTTAGGTGGCTAAGTACGGAAATCATCCCGTCCGACTGGTCAGATGGGAGTCTCCCGCTGACCAGCGCACTAAGCACGCTGCCGATGTTACTTGGGCCCCGGCCCACCTGTTGACACCCGCAACAAAGGCTCGCTTGGATGTGGAGCTGCTTCACGCGCCAAGGTGTCAGTGAACCGTGATGCGTGGCGCTACTTTTTCCTTCCTTGTTTCTCTTTTTTTTTCTTTTTCTTTTATGTGGTCTTTTATTTATATTTTCATATTTTAATTTTTTATATTTATTCTATCTCTTTTTCTTACTCCAATTAATTATTTTCTTTGTTTTCTTTTTTATGTTGAAATTATATTTTTTTCATTTATCTTTATTTTTGTCTAGTTTCTTTTATGTTGTTTATGGTTTCTATAGATTTTCTTATTTTAATTTGTTTTATATTTTGAGTTTAATTTAATTAACTATTTTACTTTTTATCATTTTCATGTTTAACTTTTTAGATTTTCTGTATTTGTGAGACTTTTATAATGTACTTTTATTTATTCACACTTATTTTTTGCTTTTCCTCTATTATTTTTCATTTTCTTTGATTTTCTTATTTCATTTTTTATTTTTTTATTTTACCCTAATTAATTTTTTTTATTTTTTCTTTTCATGTTTTACTTCTATATTTTCTATACTCTATGAGATAGATATGTTGTTCGCAATTTTTTAAACTTAAGGATAGTCATATATTTTCCTTTCTTCTAGTTCATTTCCCTTTTGATATTATTTAAATTTTTACTCTTTTCATTTCCTTGATCCTTCTTATTTTCCTATTCTTTTTTATTTTAACTGTAATTTTTTATTTTTCATGTTTTATTTTTTTGTTTTCTATACTTACATGAAATACATATGATATTCATGTAGCATACGTGTGAGGTTCTACGATATGTCTTCGAATATTCACATAATAATATAATATATTTTTCTTCTTTTTTATTTTACCGTAACTTAATTATTATTATTATTATTTATTTTTCAGGTTTTACTTTTTTATTTCCTATACTTACATGAAATACATATGATGTTCGTGTAGCACACGTGTGATGTTCTACACTATGTTTTCGAATGTTCACATAGTATTCTTGAGATGACCTGTGGTATATTTAAAGTTTTCCATGCAATATCTATATGATGTTCTTTTTAATTTTCATCTATTACATGTTTTTATTTTTATTATTTCTGTTCTCCCATATGTCTTGTAATACACGTAGTATACATGTGATGTTCTACAATGTGTTTTTGAATGTTCGAGTAGTATAAGTGGGGTGTTTTATGATTATCTCCGAGTTGTTCCGTGGCATATTTTAGATTGTTCAAGTAGTATTTCACATAATAATATAGTATCATTTTCTTCTTTTATTTAACAGTAATTTAATTATTATCATTTTCATTTTTCATGTTTTACTTTTTTATTTATACTTACATGAAATACATATGATGTTCGTGTAGCATACGTGTGATGTTCTACACTATGTTTTCGAATGTTCACATAGTATAAACGAGATGTTCTATGATTATCTCTAGGTATTCACATAGTATTCTTGAGATGATTTGTGGTATATTTAAAGTTTTCCATACAATCTATGTGATGTTCTTTTTAATTTTCATCTATTACATGTTTTTTTATTTTTATTATTTTTCTCCCATATGTCTTGTAATACACGTACGTAGTATACATGTGATGTTCTACAATGTGTTTCGGGATGTTCAAGTAGTACAATTGGGTTGTCCTGTGGTGCATTTTAGGTTGTTCAAGTAGTGTCCATATAATATTCTCTTTTATTTTCCTATATTACCTAGATTTTATCCTTTTATTATTTTTTGTTTTCCTTTATGTATTCCTTTTATAAATTTTATACTTTTGTGTTGTTTTCTCTATTATGTACCTTTTTGCCATATTTCATGAGATTTTCCATGGTATACTTTGGTCTACAACATTATTTCTGTGAGGGTCGAATATTTTTTCTTTAACTTAAATGGTCTGATACGATTTAATAATATAAATTGTTAACACTTAGACAAATATACTCATTTAGTGTGATGGTGGAGAATGAGTTTATTTGACTACAGATCTTGTGGTCAATACAACCACACACTATTTTTGCACCTATTTCCTTTACCTTTACTATTTGTTTACTATTTTTTCTTTTCCCTGGATTGAAGAACGCACTTTACCTTTATACTATTTACTTATTTACTATATTTCTTTTTTTATCTTGATTTCGGAAGGCACGACCTTGCGGTGCGTAGGAAAACGAATAGGGCAGACAGGAACTTCGGGAACATGTCGCTCGCACCGCACGAGCTAGGCCGGGCCAGCACGTGGCCGAAACGCGTGAGTTGGGCTGGACCGGGGGATAGAATCGCGAGGGAAAAAATTCACATTTTCTCTCTCAATTTTTGTGAAAGTTCGCTTTTTCTCCCTGAACTCAACCGGGTAAACCACCGCCCTCAACTTTCAGAACAGTTCGTTTTACCTCTCTAACCAGTTATAAGCGATTTTTAGTTTTGTCTTTTTCTTTTTTATTTATTTTGGACGAATCTTTGAAAAATCATAGTCAATCATAGAAAAATCATAAAATGGAAAATCCAATTTTGTTGGACTCCACATGAGTAGATCTACACAGTAAACATATAATATGGTATGTTTTAGTATAAATTTTTTGTTGTAGCTTTAGATCTATGCTTTTCTATAATTAATTCATAGATATAAAAAAATCTTAGCCATGGAGGTGGAGATCTTAGCCATGGAGGTGGAGAGGCCGGACATGGAGAAGAATGAGAGGGAGAGAAATCGAGTGTTTAGAGGGAGGGGAACACTCGAGTGTATTATAGCTTTACCGTAGTATAATAGAATCACTATCGTTTCAACTTTATAGGATAGTAGTATTCTAAGATTTTTAGCATGCAGATCAGGATACTGAAAATATTAATCCATATATTATTTTTTAGGGATTGGTACCAACTTCAACTTACATTATTTCTATTTTTCCTAGTTCCTTATTGTCATGGAATGTGTAAGGTTGCCCTTTCATATACGAGAAGGTAGAGTAAGAACTGGTATCATATATCAAGTCTAATGCTCCAGTATGAAATGTGGTTTGTTTATTTTGTAATTACCTAAATTTTTCAGTTTTCTCTTTATTTGTAGCTGAGGATGAATATGCTTTTAGTCTCCTCTTTATTTGTAACCGAGGATGAATATGTTTGAATCTGTCATGAAATAAGATAGAATGAATGAGATTGGGAAGAATGGAGAACGTGGTAAAAGCTACATGTCTAAACAAGAATAACTAATAATTCAGAATGCAGGAAGTATATTCGAGGAGAACAAAACTAAAAATAGGGGAAGGGCTAGGACAAAGAAAGTACAAAGACGTGTGATGGATTCAAGATTCAAATACAAGGTCCAGAGGCGATGACACCGCATGCCCTTAAGGGCAAAGATGAAACATTAGGACAGGGACAACCCATGTTGTACTCTCAATAAAGTATGAAAACATTGGAAAACTCCAAAAAAAAATTGAACATTATGAAACTTATAAAAGTGAACATAAGATAGGTGGCTAAGTACCACAAGGTTACATTAATTTAATCAAATTTATAAAAGGAATAAACTTGCATAATTTTTTTTAAAAAAAAATCATCTCAAACTATTCCGAAGTGTAAACCCTTCAACATATCAACTCTGGGCCTGCTCTTCTTCTTTCTCTAGATCCAGCCCATCCCAAAATCCCATATACCTTCTCGATTTTTCTGGCTGACTGGGCCTTATTTCCCTTTCCCTCTCTCCTTTGGCATGGGCCCAGCCTGCAAAGGCCCGCGTGGCCGCGTCCCTCACCTTCCTCTCACCGACTTGGCCGCCGCGCACTGCTGTCTCGCCACGCTGCTGCAGGAACTGGTCTCGCCTCGCGTCGGCGCGTTCTCGTTCTCTCCCTGGTTCGGCATCACCAGCCGGTGTCTCTTCTCTCTTGTCCTCTGCTGCCATCGCCGACCCAAGGGCTTCAGCGCCCACGCCACTCCACGAAACGACGTCGCGCTGGCGGCCGGAACGCGTCCATCTCGCTCCACGCCGCCAACTACGGTTAGCTGTGGCGCCATCTCCGCCGGCCGGCCGCCTTGCCAGCGGTCGTCGCGTACGTACGCGTTGCGCATGCGTGCACCGCCTGCCCGGCACCGGCGCCGCCGCGCGACGTGGAAGCGTGTATGCCATGGCGTCGTAGCTAGCTCTCCCGTAGGAGGACGATCGACCATCGCCGTCGTGAACGCGTAGTCGTCATTGTCCATGCATGGTCTCCGGACGAGCGCATGGCCGGAGTAGTAGGCAGTAACATGGTCTGTCATCGTGTACGCATGGCCACTAGCCAGGATGGAGTAGGCCGACCCTAACAATATACCACGTCGTCGACGCATGGATCCCGATTTCCCCGGCATCTGATTAAAACAACCGTTACGGAGTGTATGAATCGTATGATGCACGGAGATCTATGGGATGTCGGTTGCAACACCTCACCCGCGGAAACATTAGTTCGGTTCGGATACAATCCCCACGTCCTGAGACGTATATATATACTAGCAGCAGCTATACATGCACGGAGTCCCCGATCGACACCCAGTCGACACCATAGATCAATTGGAGATCGAGAGAGAGAGAGAAAGAAAAAAAGACCTAGAAGCAGGAGGAGAAGCCAAAACAATGGCTGCAAAGCCGCCGCACCTACTAGTCGACTGTCCACCCTCAAGGCACGACGGTGCCGGCGGGAGGCTGCGTCGAGCATGGAGGAACGACCCCGCCTGCGGCGAAAAAGCATGCGCGGTGGCCGTTCTGGTCCTCCTCGGCGCGGCCGTGATCACCGGCCTCACTTTCCTGGGCATCTTCCTCGACCGCCAGTTCCCGTCAAAGGACCCCGTGTTCACGGTGGCCATCACGGGCGTCACCGGCCTGGACCCGGCGCGGGACGTCGACCCGCCGCCCTCGCCGGCGGCTGGCAGTAGCCCGCCGCCCCCGACCGCGCTCTCCCCGGTGTTCAACCTGACGTTCCAGATCGACAACACGCGCAACGCGTACTACAAGGCGTGCTTCCCGGGCCTCTCCAGGGCGGACGTCTCGTACGGGGACGCCTTCCTCGCCGGCGGCTCCGTGCCGCCCTTCTGCGCCGGGGAGAAGCGCCGGAGCGACCCCGTGGCGGCCAGGGCGTGGGGCGAGAACGTCGCGGTGCCGCGGTTCCTCAGGGACCAGCTCGGCGCCGAGCTCGCCGCGGGCGACGCGTCGGTGGACGTCAAGGTGACCATGCCGACGTACTGTAGGAAAGCCTGGTGCGGCGGCGCCGTGCTCTCCTGCAAGCCCAAGATCGGAGGCGGGACGTCTCCGGCCTGTCGGCTGGATTTCATTTAAGCTAGCCCTGATCTTTCGTGTAAGATAGGATGACGATACTACAACAGTTATTTGTGTTCTAGCTAGTCCTTCGATTTAATACAATTGTACTATTTACCCCTTATAATATTCATCCAGTCTTTTCTTTTAAAACAATGTTGTTATTATGACCAAATTGTGATGTGATTGTGAGCATTCCAACCCCAAGTGTGATTTCCCTCGCCCCCCCCCACCCCACCCCAAGAATTTAAGTGCTCCGGTGGTCCTTGAGCTCAACCCCTTCTAAGGAAAAAAAAGGTTCTCGGCCATTCAAAACCTACTACCCTCTAACCCCTCAAAGATGACCTCTGCCCTAATACCTGAGTCCTCCTCCCCTAGTACCTGAGTTTTAAGAAGACGAGACTCTAATACTAGAGTTTAGATGAGGATGCCCTAATACCAGAGGTCATTTATGGGAGGCTCCCCTAATACATGTGAGGAATCATTCATCCATAATACTCCATCCGTTCTAAATTATATAAGTCCTTTTGACTTTTCTAGCTAGGTGCATGTTGACGGTAGTTAACATTCATTACAAACCGTCAATATAACTGGCATAAATGGCTAAAATAGATCACCAACATAGACTTAGAGTTTTAACTGACAAATTCCACGAGTTTTGGTGAATCTGTATTTTCAGCAGGATTTAATCAGAAAACCGCCAAGGAGGACCTATTCGTCCAAGAAAATCACGAAATTACGCTACGTAATCGACGTGGGAAGACTCTAGAAAACTCCAGGAGACTCTCCACCGAAGCGGGACACATGTCACTGACATATGGGGCCGACTGGCCCCACATGCAGGCCGCCCGACCCCTGTGGGTCCCACCTGTCAGCCTCCTTGCTATGTCGGTTCTCCACGGCCTCCTAAATTGCATCTACGCCGTTTATTCAAGTCGGTTTGATCCGAGGGCTCAGGCACTACATCACAACACCAAGATTAGCGATGGACGGTCTGACGCTAAAAGCGGCTACAGTGACAGACAATCTGACGCTAAAAAGTTATAGCGACAGACTTCTACAGACGCTGTAAATCCTGTCGCTAAAAATCTTTAGCGTCAGACAATACTCTTAGCGTCAGACAGTCCGTTGCCCTGATTTTTTTTAGCGACAGATAGTCTGCTGCTACTCTTTAACGTCAGATAGCCTGCCAGTACTCTATAGCGACAGACAATTTAAAGTTACAAATGTTTTTAGCGACTGATGGTTTGACGAGATCATTTAAATGCATTTAAAAAAAAATAAAAGGCCATTTGGTTGCAAATTAATACAAAAGTAACATCATTGTGCATATTTCTCATACAAATAGATTCATTCATGAACCTGAAACATAGATCCATGATCAGATAAAGTTACTATGCTTCAGTATGATATATTATTACAAAAGTAGGAATCACTCCATTTTAGATGCATATAAACACTGCTTTCAAAAGAAGCAAAGTTACATGCCTGTAAAAATTGTAAACCTGCACAATCAACAAGTCTATACTCTTTCACTACAGGATATAAATATTATTGATTTTGTCTAAGTAGTTGACTAGATGAAAAGCATAGTATATTTGCTCAACTAATGCCAGGTTGCTTCGAGTTAGATAAGATGTTTCGTCTTCTGATCGGTAGGGCATCATCTTCCACTGCTTCTATACATAAGAACGATCTGTTGAAGAGAGAAGCAACATGGATCAAAATTTTTGGGTTCGCGGAATCCAAATGTACCGAATTGCAACTTATCATGGCCATATACTAACAAAGAACATAAGAAAGAAACTACTAGCTCGATGGCACCGAGTACAAGTGGGTCTCTGAAGACGGTACATAATGCATATGGTACAGGTTGTTGAGATGTAACAGATCTTAGAAGTAACCCACAGAGTATCAGACTTCTTGTTATGTCGTGCCACAGCCAAACTACATAAGGTGACCAAGTACAAGTGACTGCTTACCTTTGAGTCATAGAACTTGAGGTAGAAGCGTGACTTGGGTACGGACAGCTTTGACTCCAGGATAGAAGCAATGGCAGCACTCAGCTTCTTATTCACATCAAGGTTCAGGCCTCCAATGGAAACCAGCTCACCGTAAGCTGCGGGCTCCTGAGTACCTCCAAATGCCATAGGCACCGAACCCTTGAGAACAACCATCACGTACTGTGGGAGGACAACCATTCCAGTTAGTTCCTCAAGATGATAGTACTAAAGAGAAATGGCTTCATCCAAATATAAGTCAAGAACAGAGAAACAATAAAAGCTAAAGTTCAGTAATTTGAGCCTAGCACCACAAGTCAACAACCACAAACCAAAAAATGTTAGTATATGAGAATGAGATTAGCATGGTCAGGTTATGAACACAATGTATTCACTATTTAGAGATGTCATTTTTGTCCTTGATAGTAGCAAAGCAGCTGCCTGACTAACACTACATGGACTAAACGGCTAACAGAAGATGAAAAGCTGTGACCTCTAGTACGGGGCATAAAAAATTAGATACTAAACTACATAGTAAAGTAGCTGCATGAGTAACACTAATACGAAGTGACCGATCGACATCAACTTTCAAATTTCATCTATGTAAAATTGATGGCTGTAGTACTAGGGTAACATAAAGGAAAAGCACACGCAGCCCAGGGTCCACATATTTAACAACACTTGAGATTAGTGCTGAAGAATGGTATACACTAGGGGGTTGCTGGTTGATAGAAATCTGGTCTAGAAAAACTGTGAGCACAGACTTTCATCTGTTAGTTTGCTGTAAATACATTTGTTAAATTGGAAGACGAATGGTTTGGCATTTCTTGTACTGAGTGACCACAATGGTCAGTATATCAGTCCCACATAGACAATGGGTGTGCAATCTGATACTTCGAGTTATCTAGTTATTTCCTCAATGCTGAAACTACTAAAATGAAAAAAATACAGTTTAATTATATATGAACTCAATTTAAGAATGTCCACGATATGCAGGAGATTCTAGTCCCAGGGATTCTAGGCTGTGTCATGTGAATGTTAACGAAGTGTTCGAGTGAGAATCAACATCGGGGTGTTAATGCACCTAGAGGATATTCCCCCAAAATAAAAGCCAGGAGGAAAAAAATCCCTGTTGCAGACTTGCAGTATTTACCAAAGAGAAACATTGGGAGATTTACTGATTCACACAAATTCTCTTTAAACTAACATCAATAAACACAATTGATTGATTGATTGACAGCGTATAGAAAGGTGTCATGCAGCTATGCACATCCTGCTCAAAACCCTAACAGATTGCCAAGTGCCAGAATCTGTAGTATTGCATTTTTAGGTGACCGTACAAACACCAAGCAAATTCAGGTAGGAAGAAATCGAGCGGAGCACAGAATCTGTAGTATTGCATTTTTAGCTTGTAAGGTTATGAACCATTATCTAGTACTCCAACTGTGAAGTAGTTGACTAAATGTGAGTATAGATTAAATAACTATTTGGTTCTTTTGTACACCAAATGTGAAGTAGTTGACTATCAGTAAGTGGGCCTGTCATGAGTTGTTTAGGCACTTAGATAATGGCCCTAGGCATGGAGATTTATCAGTTCCGCAACCGCTTTAAGCTATTGTCGTGAAAGCAGAAAGTTTAACTTAAAACAGAGCAATTTAGAATACAATAATTAGGAAGAAACTCACCTCTGTATGACCGGACCCTATTAGCAAACATTAGACAGTGGCCAGGATAATTCATTGGCTTAAGCCCAAATTCCTGTTTCTCAATCTGCACAAGAATTGATCCAACAAGCAATCGATGAGAGGTTGTAACTCCTTTGATGAGTCTACGACACATGTAATGTAAAATAAACCTGACATAGATTCTGCAGTATAATTAGTGCCAAGATGCCCAGATAGGCCATATAAAAATGAGTAAATTAGTGACAAGGACGAAGCTCCAAACAACGAAAATTAGTAATCAAGCACGCTACCATGGCTGATTGGATGTGCAAATAATGTTTTTGCAAATCTTGATAAAACATGTGTTTTCTTTAGTATGGCTCTGTGATCACTGACAGTACATGGCGTGCCTAGTAGCTGAGGTAACTCAAGCCAAATAGCAAGTTTAGATTTGGTGAACAACATATCAGAGCTAGTGAATAGCAAGATGAATGCCACATGGGCAACCATGTTGTGTCATGCAAATAACAGTATAAACAATTCATAGCAGTATATCTGATAAAAGTGCTTAAGCCAAAAAAAAGCTATAAACACTCAAGGGATTATATCACGAAGACCAGCTTGAGAAAAATGTTATGAATGAAATACAAATAGCTCATAACTAGGAGCAAATAAATCTACAGACATCAACTATAGTCAGCCATATCATGCTCCTTGCAAAGAATTCTGGTATAAGCAGGTTTATGAATTTCCATAAAGAGACTAGACAAGCAGTTGAGTGGTTCTACCATGTAAACAGTGCAACATTAAAATCACATGATGTATCATATATTCATATTATTTAACAAAAATAAAAGAACTGAAGACAAATATTACTATGCTTTCCTGGAGAGAGAAAAATAGGATTAAATTGAAACCTTAGATCAACTATAACATATGCTACACGCTATTTATTTTCTTTAGCTACTGTAAGACTAGACAAATCTGGTTTGTTTTTAGCTTAGAAACAGTACAAATATCAATAAGCAAGTAAGACAACATTTCAACAAAGCACTACGTTCTCTTCTATGGTAAACTATCTACTGATCTACTCTTTCTTTCTGTCCTCACTACTACACACAAGTAATGAAACAGAACAACTGAACAAGTAGTTCTGCATTTTCAGAAATCAATAGAGAATATTGTTAGTAACTACATAATTATTTTGTAGGTGGAGTCTGACAAAATATTGTGAACATACTACTACCTCCTGTCACATTCATTTGACCTTCAGGTAGAGCTTACAAGCAAGGTTGTTACAATGTAGTTAGAATGTCTCACGCCATAGATCGGAGTTGGGAGAGAGAGGAGAAAAGCT